TTTGGAAGAGAGTAATCTGAGCTTGGTTCTTCTGACACTATCTGATCCCTCACAATGTAGCTGAAGAACTTCCCAAGCATCCTTTGCAGAAGTGCATACAGAGATTAATTTAAACATTGTTAAATCTACTGAATTGAAAATTGCATTTAACGCCTTTGAGTTTTGGTTAGCATTTGATAGATCGTCTGGTGTCCACCGTAATTCTGGAGTTGGAAAAACATCTCCGTCCACATCTGTGATAGTTGGTGGCTTCCATCCAATGAGAATAGATCTCCATGCTCTCTCATCAATGGCTTTGATGTACGCCCTCATCTTGACTTTCCAGTAGGTGTAGTTCGTGCCATCAAGTACAGGAGGTCGCATAGAAGCAGTCATCTGAGTATCCATCACGAATTCGTTTCTGTAAAGAAAATAGGAACAAACACTTAGTATACGTCAAGTGTTGGCTCTTGATGCCAATTGAAAGAATTTATGGTCCCGAATTCGTATTATACAGAGATGTTATCTGAAATGTTATGACACTTGAGACAACATGCAGCGGAAATATAAAGATTAAAAGACAATGCTCATAATTAAAAATGTTCACAAGTAAAGACTTGTGAACTTGCCCTTTACAGGACGGAAAAATATATTAAAATTAGTATTCTAAGAATACAAACAGAAGAGGTGCGAAAACTTCTTCCTTATGAATGAATCTTTTTCAAGATCATTCTTACAATCAAATCTAGATACTAAAAGAAAAATATTAAAAATTCTAGATTTCAAAGAATGTACTCATAAGGAGTACGTACAACAGATCCTAGAAACACACTAAAATTCTCGAGATTAAAACTTCAGCTCTCTTTTGTTTCTTCGAAATCTTTAGTGTTCTTGAGTCTTGAGTTTGGTATTTATAGACTTGCCAAGCTTCCACTCCTCAGCCCATGATCTGCAAGAAAAACAACCACAAGAGCACTCAAGATAATGGGTTAGTGGGTTAGTTAGGAAGTTAAAATAAAACCCACAATTAAACCCACTAATCACTACTTAACCCACTAAGTCATAACACTTAGCCCACTAAGTAATAACTAAAATTTAGTTTGAAAGTAAAGAGAGTTAAAAAACACTTTTGTAAATAACAACGTGTTTCAGTAATGAAAGGTCTCAAGTTCAACTGATATAAGTTTAGAACACTGGGTATCTCACCCTACACAAATCCTAATTAATTACTTATCCAAACGAGATCACTTTTTATATACTTTCTTACTATTTTGTATTGTATATCAACTTTTGATGTCACTGTTTTGAGGATAAATATTTGCTTTTATAATTAATATCCCGATGTTTCACCCATGGGAAGTACTAGTTTAAGAAAATACGAACAAAATTATCGTATTTTCATCAGAATACATGTAACACATTTACTTCCAGACTGAATCCAAATAAATTAACCAACAATATCACAAAAAAAACAAAGAAAAAAAAAACAAAAACAAAAACAAAAAAAAAAGGAAAGAAAACAGTAGAGATTGTAAACCAGTAAATTAACATCCATAACAAGAATGAACCACTATTTAGGCAGAGGGTGTTCCTTTAATATGAGATTGACAAGAGCTAATTCCAAACCGTCAGTCGACAAAAGAGACGCTTTCAATATGCTCAAAGCCTACGCCAAACAAACGAGCTCGTTATAACATGTAAAAAAATAAACTTAATAAAAAAAATTGGATAATATAATCAAAGTATACCTCTTCGAAACCAATCTGTAACTTGACTGCTTTGACATCAGATGAAGTGGTATGCTTCATAATGGATCGACCAATGGTCTTGCAAGAAATCACGTATAAATCACGTGTTACAATATATTTTCCCGGTCCCTTAATATAACTTTCCTCGCCTTTCGGGTCCTTAAAGCACATCCGATAACATTTTTCTGCAACTGTACCACTTTCAAAGTAATAAATCGTAGGAGTCGTTTGTTCGGTCAGAGGAAAGATCTGATTCTTGGAAAGATACTTTGGAGGAAGCTCTGGTTTGATCAACCTGGTTCTGGTACACGGACTACTCATATACTTGTCGTTTATCAGTTCGGTTATACTCGTGTACAAATTGTCGATATTCCTAAGCGAAGTGTTGCTGTCCAAGAGATACTCAACTCCTCCTAGAGGGATGGTAAGCAGACTAAATAGGAAATCGACAAAATCTTCCTCGGCTTGAAAAAATAATAACTTATTGGTAGATTTTTTAACCATGGCTTTTACGGTCATCGTCTTCTTCGAGATGGACGGTGATTCTAATTTCTTATGATGAAGCGAATCCACCGTTGAACATCCCATCGTCTTTGTTTGACGAAGAACGACATCTGTTAGTGGGGTCTCGGAGAATATAGACGCTCTGAGCAATTCAATAATCTGATCGAAGATAATATAGTAAATTTAATTTAACATAAATAAGACGTACACAAAAATAAAAACTAAACATTAATAAAACATCATAAAACTTATAACCTCGTTAAATCCAACGGTCACCGTCAGGAACTCAGCACCTTGTGGTACTTCAACACCAAGACTGATGAGAGTTTGTATTACAGATCCTTGAATACTTGGCGCCATCTTTAGATCATCGGTTAGTAGGAACGAGCTTTTTTTTCCGGTAAAAACCCCACCATCATCAACATCAACATCATCATCTTTACCATCATCATCTTCATCTTCTTCTTCGTCTTCGTCTTTATCTTCGTCTTCGTGGGTTGTTATACCCATTGGTTTGCTCAACAATTTGCCACAATCACATTCAATCTTACCATAATACATGCTTACATTAGATCTCTTCTTCTTACAATCTGTATCAGCGCATCCGAAGAATCGTGTTGGCTGAGTATCTCCGATATCGAGTTTGAGTTTAAGACATTCAGCTTCAAATGAACTTCTCGGATTCAGCAGCATGTCTTTACAACCCTCTGTCCAGAAATGATTACTCTCGATATTTGCTAAGCCGTCGTACAAAGTGGTTAAGCTTCCAAATTTCACAGGTGCTTCTTCTCCATAATGTTTCTTCAGAATCCCGACAATCTTTCCCAATGGCAATGTCAGAAAGCTCAGTAAAACATCCGCGAAATTGCTGTCGATTTCTGCAAATAGTACTTTAGTTTTTTGTTTGTTTACCATAACTTTCAAACACAACTTAACTTCATTAGCATCCGACATTCTTTTGGTTTGGTTGTACTATAATAAAAATACAAAATAAATCAAAACTTTTTTTTGTACGGACAAAAAACAAATTATGAATTTGTTGCAGAACCAAATTCCAGCACTCCGGGCTTTTATAATACAAGAGATGAACCTTTCATCTCCTCAAAATAGATATGAAAAATAATATGTTTTTTTTTTCCCTCCATTTTTAATGTATGGTTACATCATCAAATTTCAAGAAAGAAATTCAAAGGGTCATAATTTATTGATAGTCGCAAGAAGAATTTGGAAAGACCTCAATGAATATGATGATATCAGTTAGACCATCTCTAACTGATACATTTTTTTTTTTTTTGAGAATTAACTGATACATTTATTTGAGTTGCATCCTCGAAAAAGAGATGACTTGATATTAGATTTTTTGATCCGAAAAAAATAAAATAAAAGATATTAGAATTTTTATTATAAAAGAAATTTTTCATATTAATTATAAGAAATCCCTAATTAAAATTTGGGGTCTTTACAATAAGTCAATCAACGGGTACTTATTCATAAAGAGATCCAGACAATAAACTCTTTTACAAAAAAGTACACACATAGTTCAGATTTTTGTACAAGACTAAAATAGTCCATCATACTTTAATATGCTTCAATTTCATCATTTAATTTAATTTAACATCAATTTGAACCAAAAGTTCACAAATTATTCTATTTTGACCCAAAACATATTTTTATGGATAATTTTGTCCGTCACCCCCGTTGACCGCCAGTCTCCGGCGTTGACTTTTTTTTTTCACTTTTTCTTTTTTCTTCCTGATTTTTTCGTCGGTTTCCGGCGTTGACTTTTTTTTTTCTGATTTTTCCGCCACCAGTTTCCACCGTTGACCGACACCAGCGTTGACTTTTTCGATTTCTTTTTCCTTTCTTTCTTTTTTTCTTTCTTTCTTTCTGTAACATCTTTTTTTTTTTCCGTTTAAACAGTAATATTAACTATATTACTGTTAAACACAGTAAAATTAACTATACTACAGTTTAACACAGTAATATTGCTATATTAATCTCTAGCACAATAATGTTAACACAACAAAAACTCATTATTATTGTGTAATAGAGTAATATTACTGTAACGCCGCGCATTTTCATAAGCATATTATATGAAATTATATTGAGTAAATCGATGATTTCCATTTCATGAATTATCTAGTGAATGTTTATTGCATCCTAACTGTTTATGTGATCTATAATACTTGATTTAATGTGATCAACTCGATTTGGTTAGATAATTGAGTAATTCTATTTATGTGATTAAATGAATTATGTGCTTTAAATGAATAATTAATCTATGCTAATATTGATATTAAATTTAGATTAAATTGATTTGACTCTGATGTACATGCTTAATTATAATTTATATGGCCTCATGAAAATTATGATATGATAATTAATCTATGCAATGCATCTTTAATTGTTTTACGATTTATGATTTAATGAATGTAGATACATATATGTGAATGTTGTGCTACGTGAGTTATGGTGTAGTAATTAATCTATGCAATTTATCTTTAATTGTTTTATGATTTAGTGAGTATAGATATATCTATTAGAGTTGTGTATATATACCATGTGTGTAGTGGGTGCATGTGCCGTGTATGTGCTGCACTATATGTGTATTAAGTTGCCATGTATTAAGGGATTAATGAAATCCTTGACTTGCAAATATTTGATTAATTGCTATTAGGACCCCATGGTTTTAGATATTGGATAATAGCCCTTGGGTAAATTTCCTCCTACTTTCCAAGCATAAGTCATGTAATGTAATTAGTAATTCCTCCCCTTTTCTTCCTAACTTCCTACGGCAATTGATAGAACCCCAATTTCTTCCCAAAAGTCTTCTCCTTCGGGAAGAAGAAATCAGCAGCTGTCCCCCTCTATCCCCCATCTATTTATATCTTCAAACACCGCTCAAAACGGGGGATCGATTCTCTTCTCTAGTACAAGTACACAACTACAAATAAATCAATGATTTCTCAACTAAGAACTTCAGAGAAACAGCCATGGGATAGCTCCAAGTTCAGCTCCAACAGCCTTCAGCCAAAGCTCCGAGAATCCTTCGGTTTCCTCTTCCTTGTATTCGATTTTCTTCAAAGAGGTAAGGACTTTTGGTACTAAATGAATTAATGATAATAATAAGATGAGGTTTATGTGATTTAATTGATTTATATGCTTAGGAATCGGATTTAGGGATCTAGGTCATGAAACATAGATTTCAATGAACCCGAATTCGATTTCCAAATTCGTAGCCTCAGATTCCAGTGCATGTTTCATCGATGATTTATTTTCTGAAAATTATGAAATTAATTGTGCGTATAGATATTTCTGTTATCTTTGTTTTGATATACGGTATGCGTAATTTGGAATTATATTGATCAAGTTATGAATCGTTTTCTGAAACTGCACGATTACTGAGTCATCTATGATTTATGTGTTAAATTATATTTCATCTTATTCCGATTCATGCGATTCTAACTGGATATGATTATAGACTTATAAATCTGATTCCCAGAGAAGTTTCATGGTGTTCCGTTGAAAGAATGATTTAATTGGTATTTTTAAAGTTGAATGCTCTGTTCTGAAATTCTGCTGGTGTTACTGTACTAAATGAATTATTTCTCTCTCATGGATAGGTATTTTACTAAACTGTTTTAATATGATATAATTCACATTGTGGAAATTTCTTAATGTTTGTATGTACGGTTTAAGAGATATGAATTTCCAAAGTTGAAGTACCGAATCTGCCAGATTTCCTTGTAGTTCTTTTGAATAGAATATGTGGATTCGGATTTCATATATTATGTGCGTATGTGCTATTATGATTATCGTATGCTTATATGTTCACATAAATGTATAGCTTAGGAAACGCATGAATGATGCATTTAAGATAATCACTTTGGTATGTTATAACTATGAAAGTGGTTATATGAAATAATATGATAATCCCCTTCTCTTGTATGTGATACCTCTTGTATGTGGTACGTGTGCGTTGCATAATATATGTGAATTACAAGAATGTTTATTTATGCGATTTGAATTAATTATGTGAGTCATTTGAATAAGAAGTTCTAAGGAAGAAAATGGTTTGAATATGTTTGTTAGCTATGTGGTTAGGCGTTTATGTGTTTATTATGCTAAGCGCAAGTTCGATCTAACATGGTTATATTATTGGAGTCGAATAATTTGTCATTTATAGTATTGCATGGTCAAGTATAGGGACGTCAGAATCTTAATATGGTTATCGGTCGAGTAGACACAGGAATACGAGGGGCAGTATTCCAACTACGGCACTATAGATTAGAGTGGGTAGCTCCCCTCAAAACAGGCACAGAATATCGACGTCTATTACCGATAACCATGTTATGAATCTGATAGGGATACCATCACATTATAGTAATTGTATTGACATAAGTATGAGTATGTTTATTTATACGTTTTGAATTGTTTATATGATTTGTCATTTATGATATTGCATGGTCAGTATAGGAAGTCAGAATCTTAAATGGCTATCGGTCGGGTAGACACGGAAATACGGAGGGGCCGGTATTCCAACTACGGTACTATAGACTATAGAGTGGATAGCTTCCATTAATAAACGGGCTCAGAATATCGACGTCTATTACCGATAACCATGTTATGAATCTGATAGGTATCCCGTCATATTGCATTTATGTGTTATATTTGTTAATACAGACTATAGGGACTTGATGTCTATATGTACTACAGCTAAGTGGTTGTTGCATCCCCATGTTAATACACCTTGTGAGTATACGTTAAGCAGGGGAAACTCGTCGCCCATGTCAAGGTTGAGGTTCTCGAAGCGGTTATGGAAACTGGTGGAGCGGAGTTCGAGGAATCACGAGCTTTTATATCAACCGACTATTTTCAAAGATTTTATTAGTCACTTTCTTTTTAAGTGTTTTAACTTGAGAAGTTTATAGTTGTAATTATGATGTACTCTATTTAGGAATCTAGTCTATTAAACCGGGGTGTATGTAAAATAAAGTTGTTTTGTGTTCCGCTGTATTACAAGTATTGCTTTGAAACCCCGTCTATGTTGAAGTAGCACTCTTTATGAAAATTATATCTTTCAAATGTGGGTTATGTTTTGAGGAAAGAAAAATGCTTTGACGATTTCCAAACTTATTTTCTAAAGGATCAAATAGGATCCGAAGGTTTTAATAAAGTCCATTTTTCTAAAAACTATTCTTAATTATATAAACGACATGGAGGGTGTTACAATTACTATGTTGACCGCTCAACAAATGTAAACATAATAAAAAGCCAAAAGAATTAATATTATTGTGAGTGACAGTAATATTACTATAACAACAGTAATATTACCATCAACCACAACAATATTACAATAATAGACAGCAATATTATCACGTTATAACCCAAAAAAACAAAATAACCCAAACAAAAAATAATATTGATGTGGTTGACAACAATATTACTATAACAACAGTAATATCACCGTCAACCAAAGTTATATTATTGTGTTTATAGTAATATTACAATAATAGACAATACTATTATTACGTTACTCCGTGAATAACTCAAACAAAACAAAAAACACAAAATAAAAATATTGATGTGGTTGACAGTAATATTATTGTGTTTACAGTATACTGTCAATGACAGTAATATAATTAGGTTGACTTGTCATCAAAAAAAATTAAAACAAAAAATAATAATAATAATATTACGTTAATTTACTGTCAACGGCAGAACAATTACATAAATATATTGTCAACAGCAGTACAATTACGTTAATGTACTGTCATTGACAGTATAATTACGTTAATTTACTGTCAGTGACAACACAATTACGATCAACTTTTAGCGGCGGACGTTAAAAAAAAAAAGGAACACTAAAAAAAGTCAACGCCGGAATCCGGCGGCGGAAAAAAACAGACCGAAAAAATAATAATAATAATTCGAAAAGTAAACGCCGGAATCCGTAGGCAAAAAATAAAATAACAACTGTTTAACATCTTTTTGCCCCATTTAAACATCAATATTGTTGTGGTTGACAGTCATATTAACTATACTACTGTTTAACACAGTAATATTGTTATATTACTCTCTAACACAGTAATATTGACACAACAAAAATCACTATTATTGTGTAATAGAGTAATATTAATATGTTGACCATTCTATAAAGGCAAACATAATAAAGGCTTACATTGATCGTGATCCAGTCCGAATTTCAGAAAACGTGAAACGTAAAAGTTGTAGAAAACTTTGTTGGCCATTCGGATCCTATTGAATCAACAAAATCGGATTTCTGACGGAAGAGATATGATTAAATCATTCAGCACCGCCATAATATTGACACAATTTGGTGCTACCCACAACATTTTGAATTGACGAACATATAATTTATCAGGTACGCCTTTTAATTATAAGATATATATTTGTGCAATAAATTGATACTGCTATATGATATAGTGGTGGATTATTGCACGATAGTTTAATTTTCATATGTGGAAGCATGATAAACCATATACAATATATATGTTTTAATGAATATTAATTATGTTTTTTATCTACATTAATGATATAAATAATTTTTATCCTAAATACAATAAAGTGAGATCGTATGTGATAATTATTTAAATAAGTTTATCATAAAACGCAAGATAATAAGTGCTATACTACATAACATTACTCATGAAAATGCAATATTTATTTGCTTAAATTGCATATAGTTTGATACGGGATTAGCTTTCTCCCAATTTTCATTTGACGTGGAACCGTCCAGTTGATTGATTTTCGAATATGTTATATGAAATTTGTGAGTACGTGAGCTTATTAACGTTTTTATTATTGTCTATGAACGATTAGACTTGTCTCGTATATTAAGTATGAGTTACTTAGTAAGAGGAATATTATTATATATATTATTATTTGTGTAAGCCATACTAATTCCTTAGATTTGTGTTATTGCATGCACATGCATTGATTACGTGTTATAGAATTTATATCAATTCATTATGTTGGACATGAATTAATTTATGCCATGAAATATTACGTCCAAACTTGATGTTATTATATACTCGTGTGTATACTATGTATATGTTGATATAGTATGCTTGATCTATTGTCAAACAGTATGAAAGTCGTGCTCACTTATCAAAGATTATATGTTTATTACAATATTTATTGATATACATATGTTTTATATATCAATCATACTACAGTGCAATTAAAAACATGATTGAAATGAAATAGAAAGAAAGAGAACCTCAATTTATGAGAGCACATGAGTAGTTCTTGTCTCAAGAACATAAAAGAAGATCGAATCATTGGTTCGATTTGATTTTTGTTTTTGATATCACATTTTCAAGATGATGATCTACTATGTGAATGGATGAGATCAGATTTTGATTTTTCAAACATCCGAAATATTTGTTGACAACATTTAAGTATCTTGAGAAGATTTCTCTTTTTGTGCTTTCTTGAGAGAAAGAAATACAATACTTTGTAATTAAATATATTGGTGATCCAATATATTACTCTAACTAAAGAAGAAATGTATTTTGCTACATTGTGTATCGTTATTAATAAAATAAAAATAAGGATTTCAAAGCGTTTAAATACTATGTTGAATGAAAGTTGGAAAATATCAACTTTGACAAATGAATTAAAAAATGAATATTGAAACTCTTGGAAAAAGTTTATGGATATCATATTCATAAATTCTAGAATACATAGTCTAGAACTTGTGGGGGAAATTAGATATCTCGAGCTAACCACATTAATATTTAGAAATGTGGGGGTCTTTAGATCCTAAACACATAAATTAAATATCCCGAGCTAACCACATTAATACTTAGAAATGTGGGGGTCTTTAGGCCCTAACCACATTATTTAGAAATGTGGGGTTGTTTAGGCCAAGGTAAAAAAGTACTTAAGTTAATATAAGGGCTAGTATAATCAAGTAGATAAATATTGAATATATAAATAATGATTGTGTACAAGATAGTCACTCTTGATGCAAATTGATTATATTGTGTTTTCTTGTAAAATAAGTAAATAAGTAAGTTCTAAATAAGACAACTTATAAATGTGTAAGTGGTAAATTATCAAAGTGATAAACAATCAAGTTAAAATATGTCTGAGTGGTAAATCATCAAAGTGATGAACAACCAAGATACAACAAGATGGCAAAGAAAATCAATATGTTTGATTTTGATTTGATTTTATAACTTATGAGTTATAAAATGAACGAAGGACAACTATTGAAATATTGTCTATATTGGAAGAATGTACGTGGAAGTTAGTTTGTCTTCTTCCAAGTAGTCAACCATTAAGGTTTAGATTAGATGGACTATTCAAAAGAAGGATTAAGTGTGGTCCTATAAAGCTAAATAAGTAGATATGAATTTTTATGATTATTTATAACAAGATATTGGAATCCGTTAAGTCCTTCTAAAGTAATATTTGATAAAATTGTGTTATCAAATAATTCTCGTAAATAACGAGTGTGACCGGTGTGTTTATATTAAAAGCACATGGAAGTATATGTCTATAGACGACATTATAATCATGAGATATTGATCATGATATTGTTTTGAACGTTGAGAAAATATTGAATAAATAAAATTAAATACGAGGGTCTATACGATATAATCTCTTAGATTAAATTCACAAAGACAAAGATAGTCTTATTGAAAGTCTCATGTTGAGACATGAGACACTACTAGAAAATTCAAAGACATATAGTCTTTACTTTGCCAAAAATAATGATAAACAATGTTTCAATTACAAATATTTTTGGATAGTTTGGCAGTAATATTTTTGTTATATATGTAATCCCAAAATAAATAATCATTCATGATATTATAAGGGTTCTTAAGTAATCTAAGTATCGCCTTTAAATGAATTACGCTAAAGAAAATATCCAATTGTATTAAAAAAGTGCATTGGATATATGAGTCCACTAAGATTATGTATCTTGGAAATTCTCAAAGAAAAGTAATATCTCGATTCATTGTGGAACTCGAATATATAGCTTCGGATAAAATTAGAAAAGAAGTTGAATCAAACTTCATAAAATTATTGGAGGATGTTATGTGTTGGACTAAGTCGGTGCCTGCAATTATGAATAAATTTTGATAGTCAATCAATTAGGATAAGGGCACAAACGACTTGTATAATGGCAAGTATCGACACATTGGTCATACACATAAGACCATTAGGCAATTGATCTTAAAATAAATAATTAACATTGATTATGGAAATCAATGGTTCATAGCGGATCTGCGACTAAAAGTCAACAGATCAAACATATTGTCTGTCTAGTGGAGTGTAAAACCCACAAATTAAGAATTTCTATAGTGGTAACCCAACCATGATGACTGGAGATCCCAAGAACTGGTTCAAAAGGGACAAATAAGCTATGGAAATTCAGTGATGCACTAAGGAGTATATATTCCTATGAAATTATATATTTCCAACCCATTCCCGTGATAGACATTAGTATTAGCAATGTATCCAATAATCACGGGATCTATGGAGAGATAAGGAAGATCAAAACTCTTGGAGAGATAAGGATGAAGACTCTCGTGATTTACCCACAATAAGAGGAGAGAAGTTGGGTGAACTTGGAGACCTACGGCAACAACTTCAACCCAAGATGATAACTCACTTAGATAAGCAAATCAAGGATTCATAGTTATCTAGGATTCCTGTCTATTGTATTTAAATACCATATCTAAAGCCTATTTGTTTACGGTGAAAAAACATACAGCAATAAAGAAAAGTTTTTCAATATTATTCTCTCTTATTAAAATTACTCTATGTTTCTCTCTTTTCTTCATGGTATCTAGAGCTAGTGTGAACACTAGGAAACAATTATAGATTCACCTCAATACTCTCTCTTGTCTTACCTTTGATTTTTTTTCCTTTCGATATGGCTACCTTATCATTGAACGTTGGTAATTTTATTACTCTCCGACTCACTCCAAACAATTACCCCTTGTGGCGAGAGCAAGCCTTAGCTCTGGCCGAAAGTCAAGAGTTGGTGGGGCATCTCACAAACGAAGATCCTGACCCTTCCAAATTTAAAACTCCAAATCTAGACA